CGAAAAACCTAATGAGCATTTAACCGAACAATATTCTTAAATCTTTAATCTTACCTTTAAGTCATTAGCATCATTTAAAGTATATAGAAAACCTCATTTACATGAATTTCTGTTTCCAAAAGTGATATCCAACATGTAAATATGTATACTACATATACAAGTAGTAGTAGTGTGTATATTTGGTAATAATTTCATTCCTTGCGTGTTCACTTTCCATTTCAGGTAATTTGTTGTTGTTTATTTTTTCCATATGAAAAATACTGTTATTCACATTTTCATTCCTGTGGGATATTTTCCACATTTTATGCTCCAAAGCATCTATTGACGGAAAGGATGTCAGTAACTTTCCATCGAGTCGAATTCAGTAAAAAAAAATCGTAAGTATGTTTGCACATAGACGGGAGAGACAACACCCGAAAGGGATGTAAAAGATGAAATGTGAAATTGAGATAGGCACTTCAATGTCCCACAAATGCAATTGGTTAACTCGAGTAGGAAAAATGTGGCAAATCAGAGTAGAAAAAGTCACCGACACTGGAGTAAAGTACGAAGAGTTCACTGAGAAGTAGGCAGTAATGGAAGTTTTAAACTGCAGTGCGGAGAATTAGGTAAACCGTAAATCAGATACAAAGTTGAGCCTATGCGCTACGAAGTTATTGAAAGGCAAAAGAACAACTTTCGCTACGGTATGCATATTCGGCGCAAAGCAGGGTTACACAAATTAAAACCACTAACATATGAGTACTTGAGGTGCGCACTGAAGCCATGATAAAGAATTCAATATTTGCTGCTAAAAATAAGAGAATATGTGACATAGATAGTAATTCTCATTTCAACTCAAAAAATAGTTCCCAGACTTTCTCAAGTCTGATATTTAATAAAATATGTTCCGTTTCTCACCAAGAATCTGCTTATTTGTCGAAATGGCCGATAGCATATAGCTGCCATACAAACTGAAAGATCGGAAGCAAGTGATTGCATGAAAACCTTTTCATTTGACGAGATATCTCTATGACTATAGCATATAGCTGTCATACAAGCTGAAAGATCGGAATCTAGTTCTTGTAAGGAATTTATTTCTTACTTGTATTTGTGAAGGGTATTATAGCTTCCGTGCAACTCAAGTTAAAGTTTTTTCTTGTTTTTAAATAAAATTTAATTTCAGCGTCTTAGTATTCGACTTCGTCGGAACGTATTAATCTTTGAGCTATCAGCCTTCTAGTGGCAGTAATTTAACCCATAATAGAAAAAATATTGATAGATCCTGCGCTGAGAGAAGCAAAGACAAATCGGTTACTGAAAATTACTTTCAGAAAACTAAGGCTTAATGCAGACATTTATTCTAGGGCAAAATTGCCAAGCTCTTACAAACCATGAACAGTTAAAAATTTTGAGTAAAAATTTTAATATGTTAAGTGAAGTACTTGAGATTTGCACATTACTAAGGCAACTTGCTGGCAGCCTAGTATTTTTGCTAAAACAAAAGTAAGTCGTCTTGATAAGCTTCCTCTTCAGAAAGCAAGCCATCAAAACGGCGCAGCATCCGCCAATACCACCACAATCATTGCAATGTGACACTAAAACTCGTTCATGAAACAAAAACAAACAAGTAAGGAAGAGCTAAGTTCGGATGTAACCGAACATTTTATACTCTCGCAAAGTCAAATGGTATACACGTTTGAGATTTCTTTGTGGATTGACTGATATTTTCGGTAGAAGGTCAACTATAGGCACTGGGGTCCACATATTTAGTACTTAGGGGTTTGAACAGTTTTGGTTCGATTTAGACAATTTTTGGCCGCAAGGTGGCATACTTTAATTGCATTATTCACGCAAAGTTTTACCCCGATATAATCATTGTTGCTTAATATGCATAGTGGGAAGTCAAAGAATCAGATGGAATTTAAAATGGTGTTATATGGGAAGTAGGCGTGGTTGTAATTTGATTTCGCTCATTTTCACACTATAACATAGAGATATGAAAATAATATCATGCACCGAATTTGGTTGAAATCGGTTAAGCAGATCTCAAGATATGGGGTTTCACCTAAAAGTGGGCTGTGCCACGCCCACTGTCTAATTTTGAACGCGGTTCCTATAAAGCCATCTCATACAATCCTAGAGATAAAATTTAATGTCTCTAGCGTGTTTAGTGCTTGGTTTATCGCGCTTTTAGTATTTTTTAACAGTACCGTTATATGGGGAGTGGGCGGAGTTGCCACCCGATTTCAACTATTTTCACACCGTCAATAGAAGTGCTAAAAACATTTGCTTCTAGTGAATTTTGTTATTATAGCATTAGCGGTTTAGGAGATATGCACATTAAACCTATCAGAGGCGGGACCACGCCCACTTTTTAAAAAAAAGTTTTAACTGCAGATGCCCCTCCCTAATTTGATCCTGTGTACCAAATAATAGTCTTGTATCTTATTGCGGAGCTTAGTTATGGCAAGTTATTTGTTTTTGATTAATGGCGTTTTGTGGGCGTGGCAGTGGTCCGATTACGCCCATCTGCAATACCAACCGTCTCACGGTACCAAGAAACATGTCTACCAGGTTTCATAAAGATATCTTAATTTTTACTCAAGTTAGAGCTTGCACGGACGGACAGACGGACGGACAGACAGTCACCCGGATTTCAACTCGTCTCTTCATCCTGATCATTTATATATATATAACCCTATATCTAACTCGATTAGTTTTAGGTGATACAAACAACCGTTAGGTGAACAAAACTATTATACTCTGTAGCAACAGGTTGCGAGAGTATAAAAACCAACAATAATTGTTGTCGGCAAAACAGCCAACTAAAACATCGTTAACTCACATTCTGCATTCCGGCGTGAAGGAAAGCAATGAAATCAGTGCGTGTGTATAGAGAAATTATTAAATTCCTAGACAACCAGCGTTTAATTGGCATCGGCGCGCAGAGCGAAATTAACGGTTAACGCAAGCGGCGTCACTCCTCTGCGCATTCACGTACGCATACATAGATTTGAGTGTGTGAGTTGAATTTACAACTGACTGACATGGTTGAGCGACCAGCGAGTCGAGTGCGCACCAAACAAATGCTTAGATAAAACTAACTGAAAAGTTTTCGCAGGCACCAATCATCCCCAAATACACACACACTCACGTACACATACTCGTACATATATGTAACGCTTATGCGATTTGGTGCACAACACTTACACAACCACTCACGCGCACAACAAGTTAGTACTCACCCAACAGCTCATAAATAAGCACACACACATATATACATGTGCACGTAGATGCATTGGAGCGCACCCTAATGCCTCTGCCCATATCATAGTTGGCCCGCATTGCGGCAAGTCTGCGGCCTGCGGTAAACATTGGTAATTTGCCTTTTTATTGCCGAGTGGTTGTCAGTCATTGCGTCTAAGCGCAGTTAAGCGTGTTAATTTTCCTCATTTCAACCAACTCCACCGCTCCATGCCACACCAGCAACAACTTAGTCCAACAACGCCATGTTTTGCCTTACTGCAGCTATGCATTATCCTTGCCTCGTCATTGTTCGGAGCGCCTCAATGGTATTATATGCGCGGTACCTAAGGGTATAGCAACAAAACACCGTTACTCCTGTGTGCTGCGCTGACATGTGGCAAGTTGCAAATTGCATGCCTGAAACAACTAGTTATCATCAATGACGCGGGATCCCGCCACGTCCGCCAGCTTTAGTGAGTTCCTGTGTATATATGTACATACATATGTGTATGTTGGTCAATTAGTTAGACAGTTGGTCCATTCAAGTAATAACATCACTACCGCCTGCCCTGGATTGTGCATAACAAAAATGCGCTGATCCCTGACATGGCTAATTTTCCATCTCCCTTGCTGCGGTCGAAAGCAAACGGAAATTAAAATGCCGTTTAGTGGACATTCAGCAAGAGCGGATCTCAGGCGGCGAATGCATAGTCGACAGCATACATGAATTAAAATAATTTCAAGCATAGCGGTTGGTTCAGAAGCAAATTCTATTTACATCTTCTCTGTTATATTCTGAAAACCCGCACAACTGAAAAGATACCTAGTATAATTATCCACAAAAAGCATGTGCGTACGTCTTTCAAATGATTTACTCCTCCTATCCGACTTCTATTTGTTTATACCAATCCATTGTTTTATACCAGTTGCATGTTTGATTAGCCACTCTGCAAGGTTTGACGAAATTTCTGCAGCAAAAATTCGCTATGCTCCAAAAGTTCAAAACAGCGATATCAATTGGTCACTTTTCCAGACTTACTCCTGCCACTCCTTTTAGTCGAGTCCTTTGAAAAGTGTACATATGTTACGTAGACAGGTCAAGACCTGTAATCACAGCGCCCGAGATGCCCACAAAATTAATGGAAAACGTGGCAAAAAGAGCTCAATTTGCTACGTCCAATAAAGGCAACTACTGGTTTTTGTATTCACAAATAGTTTAATTAAACAAAAGTATCTGAAATATAAAATTAACAAATAAGCATTAAATATTGCGAATCCTTATATAAGTTTATTACTCGTACAGTAAACTATTCTATGATTTTTTCTACTTTCAAACGTACATCACACTGGACCGCCGTGTTATACTAACTAACCAGCGTTGAAGTGCTGCTTGTGACATAATCTAATTACCAATCATTTGGTGACAATTAACGGAAGTATTGATGAGTAGAATGGAGAGCATAGTAAAAAGAAATTCTAATATTTCAAATGACGAAACAAGTGAAAGCTCACGCTAGGAATTGATATCTGAACATTTTTTAAATGGCATTTGAATAAAAGATCTAATCACCATATCTCTTGCTCTGTTACCCTTTTATTTATATTAATTATTATAATCGAATCCTAAACCGATATTTTACAAAAAAATAATTTTTGTAGAAAGTATATTGGGAGTTCAAACGACTAGTTATTCGAATTTTTTAAATTAAGACCCTCAATTTCTATTTTTTATATTTAATTATTTTTTCTCTTTTAAACTTTTCTCATTTAAGAAACTCAAGGCTTTTTGTATGCATTTACTACAACAGCACAGTGCTTACTGGAAATCATCAATGAAAAATCTCGCAAGTAACAGCAATTAAATTGAACTTTCCCGTTATTGGTAAGTTTAAAACAATATTTATTAGAGATTTTTTTGTAGTAAATTAATTAAAAACTAACAAATCAGCAAACTGAGGGAATTCAAAATTCGTGTGGTTATGAAAATAAATTTTGATCTTTAATCGAACAACCACTGCTAAAAAGCACATAGTCTGGCATAATTAACACTAGAACTACGAAGATTTACAATATTTTATATTTCAAATAGGTCTCTCTCTCTGAAAATTAGAAGCGTAAGAACAAAATAATCTATATTATTATTCTATACACAAATTTAATAAAAATCATGACATTATCGTAAAATATTATATAGGAACAAAGAGGAAATGGTATAAATAAATTATGCAACCGGTCATTTTGACCGGTTCGTAGTTAAATACATTTTATTTCTTCAAATATTCCCATACCATAAACTTTGTTGCTAATATTTAACAATTTAGCTCCTAAATAAATGAAGTTATAAGCAAGAAAAAGTAATATACGCGCAAAATAGTACAACAAAAAGTAAGCAGTCCTTGCAGAAATACACAAAAATGGGAGTGGTGTATAAAAAGTTCAATTACACAAAGCAAATACCACTTAATACCCCTATCCGAGTGCATGCTCTTGGAAGGTAATCCTACTCGACATGCAGCTGACTGTTAAGTGACAACGCCTGTCAACCTTGTCTTGAGCGATATCCCTACTTCACACGCCTGACTTTGGCTGCGTATAACATATGGATGTGTACGTATGTTATGTGCATACATATATGGTATGTGAACGTATGTAACCACAATTCTAATGCAACATGACATTTTTAATGTAAGGATATTACTGTAGACATATCATATGCATTAGCGTGGGTAAAAAAAACGAATGGTAAAATACCAGACCATTTTTGTAGTACAGTAAATTTTCTACTAAACTATGGGCTTTGCAATTTAAAGTGATGTTTTTTCATTGATTTATAAAATTATTAATAAAAAAAAATTGTGCCTTAAAATAATTAAATTTCAATATCTTTTAAGCGATTAAGTTTACGAAAAACGTAAGAGACCATTTTGTAGAGCATTCAATTACCTATAACACCCACAAAACGAGGTATTTTTTCAAGTAGTTGGGACCGAGTTATGAATCTTTCCATCTCGTAACAGGAATAAAAAAGAATAAGGCGGAGGACCTTCCCATTACAATTAAGAGCTCATACTTTTAGAGATTTTCGTAGAGGAGTCTAAGAACCTTTTTTTCAGAGTACCAAACAATATTCAGTTTTATACCCACCCTAATATGCATGTGCCGTTTTGTTGTTGTCGTATAAACGTATGCAAGTGTATATACGCAAATATAAACAGAGCCATAATGAATTCATGAAACTGATAAGGCATTGTCAGACGAGAAGAAAGCAATTTATGATATTTTTACAATAGTAAGTGACAAAATGAAATGTATGCTAAAAGAAAAACAATAAAATATAATAAAGGCGTACAAAAAATGAAAAATGCAATTACATTAGGGTAGAACTTAATTATGAGAAGCAAATATTTGTCACGAATCTTAGTTGAATATAACATTTCATATCCAAGTTTTAAAAAAAACCTACAGTACCAATTGTTACAAAATTTTCACAAAATATTTATACATATTTTAAGAAAACACAGTAAAAGTTTTGAAGAAAAAATTAAAGATTTTTCGAACTACAGCCAATTTTCGAGAGCGCTAAAACAAAAGATCCTCCTATAGTGATTCCGGCCTTCTCCGTGGATGAAACCTAAAAAAATTTCTTTAATAGAAATTAATATTCGTGCAAAAATTCTCTACTAGAAAATATTAAATGCGCAATGACCGACGGTCGAAAAAAAATCAAAGATTGACAAAATGGCGGCATTTAAATAAAATTTTATTATATTCAAAATGTTGGTCTTTTTTGTTCTGACAAAATTCAATTTTTGATCAGATCAAAAAACTGATAGTTATTGTATGGAGAACTATATACAGAACTTGCAGAAAAATTTGATAGTGTTCGAATCATTTGTCGCCGAATTATCCCAAATTTGAAAAAAGCTGTTTGGCAAAAAACGTGTTTAAAAATAAACTCATGGAGCTGATGAACTGCGCGGCTTCACTTAAGAAGATTGTAACTAAAAACTATTTGAGCTATTGATTTTATTTTAAAAGTATTACTAATCGATATATGAAAAGAAATAATTTTTGTTAAATTTCGTACTAGCAGTGGCCCTTAAAGAATAATATGAATTTTATCCGTTATGTGGTAAGCATTAACCTTCTTCAATTGGATTCAACTTTTGTAATTAAAATTTAGGCTCCTCGTCTTATCGAATGAGGCGCTTAAACGGAAAAAAATCGCATATTCAATATTTTAGTACCAACCTAATATTCCATATCCATATATCAGACAAATGTTTATATATCCGCACAAGCAAATATTGCCGTTAGTACGTAAGTGAATACGCTTGAAGTTGAAAGGCGTACGAAACGGTACATTTCAATATGTTCGTACAACACTCGTCTAATGTGCTGTCAATTCATTGTGGTACTTGTATTACGTACGCTTTCACTATATAATCATTGTAGCATATAAAGCATAAACAGTAGCCACAAAGAAGCAATTGAATTGCAGAATAAAAGGTAAACCACAATACTCGTAGCAATAAAATTGAAAGATAAATAAATTGAAGAAAGCTCAACGAATGAAAGACTAGACAGTATCACTGATATAAATACATAAATGTATGTAAGTACATACATAACAAATTTGTAACAAATTATTAAGATAGTCAACAAGCAGCATACAGAAAAATGTATGCATGTTGGCTGTCACGTGACAAGCGTTGCCACCTATTTGCATTTCATTAGACAGGCATGACTGGCATTTAATTGGCTTCAATAATTGAAAAAGTGTTACACCAATTCAATATTTTTAGACTATTCAACTTCTTTTCGTGTTTTGACCGGTTTCCAAAGTAAAAATACAACACAGAAAATTGATATTTTTGTTTGGAAGCAGTATAGTTTTCAAACGTTTTATATTAAAAATGTACTAAGTTTGCTATTGGAATATATTAAAACGATATCAGCAGTTTTTAGGGTATTGCTTGAGTATTAAACATTCCTAATTTTTCCCTTTTTGTAAGTAAGACTAAGCCTAAAGCTATTATTTCGAAAATTTCACTATCTTTCTAAAACATGTTTCGACCTTTCAAAATCGTATGCATTTAGATATCTTAATAAATTGAATGAGCATGTATCATTACAGTTGTGAAAAGTTATTTTAAATAATATACACCGAGCAGCCGGTAAAACTTGTGCCGCCTGCGTTTTTGCCAGTAATATCATTATAACAACAATAGAAACTCCCAAGAAATATTACATCCGGCAACTGGTGGCCCGCTTCGTGTTGCATATCGGCCTTGTTACGGCATATAACAACAACAAAAACAATGACTACGACCGCAGCTATACTGGTAGCGACCCTCAAGCGTCGTGTGCCCACAGCTAAGGGCCAAGGTGGAGCTGTAACCTCGAAATTCGAAACTGTAAAATGTTTGCCATCTTTCTTACATTTTTATTTTGGTTTTTGTTGTTGTTCTTAACTTGATTTTGTTTTGAGCAGTAGCTTTGCGTGCAACTTGGGAGTAAGTACCGTCACATGGCAGCCAAGTAAAGTGACACATTAATAACGTATGTCTATGTGTAAGTGTGTGCAAATTATGGAAATACTATCGTATACTTCGTGTAATAGTAGTTGCCCAAGTTTATGGCCTTTGTGGTCGCTCTGCCGGATATACGCACCATATGTAGTGGCAGTGTCGTCATATTGGTTAACCGTAAGTAAACGAGATTCTGCATGTGCACAGTGGGCCTATTTTATGAGAAGAGTAAAATGTAATACTGTCATCTACCATTATTACGTAGGTATACAAATATTCTCAAAGTATACTATTTTCTAGAGTGTCTGTACTTACTGGGATTTAGCAGGGTACTCAGTTTGATCTTCACTTCGGCGTAAACTCGACTCGTGTCGAGAAGCGTCTTTATCAGAATGAAGTTGTTGGTGTAGGGATAAAAAAAAAACAATTGAAATAATTGTAAGAAATTCTGCGTAGTTGACAGCCTAGTTGGCATGTTTATGTTACGTAGACCTAACCGTTATCTTCAAATATGGTATCAGGCGAGGTCGCAAAAACTAACTGAAAGCGTGTACAAAATCTATCTAACTCTAAATTTCCAAAATCTTTGTTTGCAGAACTTTTATTGTTTGCAGTCATCTTGTTGTATTGTTGGCAAATCTGGTATAACTCAAAAAATATATTTTTTTTATTGCCAAAAATTTCGCTGCGTTTTCTTGAAACATGTATAAACATACCCTGAAAATTTCGAATTCGATGCACTAGATGTGCTCCTTAATTAGTCGTCAGAAGTTTTTCGGAGAGCTTTTTTGAAACAAGATAAAAAAAATTACATATATATGGTATCAAATCAATAAATTCTCAGTAAAACCCATTAACATTTCCCATCCCAGGACTTTAAAAGTTTTCACAACTCTAATATATAGCTACATATACATACATATGTATATATCAGAACTGTCTAGGCAGTTACGCGTAAAAGTGTGTTGCAAATAAATTAAAGCAAATATATTTAAACGCTCCCATGACACTCGCCTACATGTGAGCCCATGCGTGTGTTAAGGTGTTTGTGTGTGTGCAGTCTGCACGTTTGGCGTGTCGGTAAGTGATTTTATGTAAATGAAAAGCTAAAGCGTCCTTGTCGGAAGCGGAAATGAATGCTGTTTCCGTTTTATTTCCTCTTACCGCACAAAACACACACTAATGCACATTCTACTCCTACTCTTTCACACACACACACACACACACATAAATGCGCAAAACAAAAATTAATAGACTGCACTTTGTATGCGCTCAGTGCGAACTTCCTAAACTACAAAATGGCATTGGCCTTTTGTTAGTCGCCTGAATGGCTGCATGGATGTATGCGAGA